TGACACTTGCAGCTCTGCATTAAGTTGGAGACTATAATAAAATAGTCTGCTTTGGGACTCCCTGCTCAGTTGAGAAGGGGATTGAGAAGGATTTTCTTCCTTGATGTACAATTAACCAGATAGATTTCTTTTGGCTTGATTATTATTATTATTTTTTTTTTTTCTGGCCTTCAACCACAGAGCAGACTGCAGAATGTGAGAAACAATGCTTTCTGAGAGCCCAGGGAATTTTCTTTCTTAGATTAGACTTCCTTGGTGCCTGGTTGGGAAGGGATTTGCTTAAATGCCTAAGGTTCTCCTTTTGGTTCTGGGATTGGAAAGAAATCCCCCAGTCTTCTTTCTGTCTGAACAGAGCCAGGTGAGAGGTTTGCTCCCTAAATAAACTGATGTGTTTTGCCCACTGAGATTATCTGGGCAAACTTCATTCCTTCTATCCCTGTGGTGTTCTGGTCACACCTCCTGTTCCATGAGGGACATGAAGGAGTTTAAGTCTCATGAAAACACAAATACTTCAACTAAAATCACTAGGCCTGCTAGTAGAGTTTTCTGGAAAAAATATTTGGTCTGTAATTCATGGGAGGTGAGAGAAGTTGAGTTAATTGTCCCTTCTGGTCTAACATTGATGATTATGATAAAACATGGACCTTAGTTAGCTGCATTGGCTTCTGGCCAGTGGTATAAAAGAGGGAGCTGACTTTACTCAAATGGGAGGAAAACTGAACTCAGACAAAAATTACTATATGAAAAGATTGATGTCTCAACAGCATAAGTGGAAATGGATTAGTTATCATTATTTCTGAACCTGAGGTACTGGGTAAAAGATCTTAAAAAGTCACAATGCTAATGAAATTTATTGCAGCTGTAGGCAGCCTGGCTAACTGCTGGGGGCCATATATGTGGCTAGTAAAAGCATCACCCACTGCACCTCAGTAGCCATCAGTGGATTGAGGAAGAGTTGAATGTCCAGTGGATCCTCCAGGACCTGAGGTCCATGTGGTGGATATGGTCAGACCCTGTCTGGGAGCCGATGTGGCTACCAAGAGTGTGGCTGTGGACATGAAATACCCAGGAAACATGTTTCATTATGTGATGTAATCTGTGGAGAGAATTTGTAGGACAGAGAAAGACCAAATAGAATATAATGCAGTTAGTTTCAAAGAACATTTTTCAGTGAAGTATCCCATCTTAGTTAAAACCTCTCTCCACTAGAGTATTTTAATGGCCTAGTCGTGAGGGATGCTTTGGGATCTCATTTTTTTAACAACATCACACAGCACAGTGACTTGCATCATTGTCAGTAAATCTTAGTACCTGAAAGAACTCCACTACATTGTTTCAGAGTTACTCTCTTCTGGCTCGGTATACAGTAAATGATTTTGCAAATGTACCTACTGCGGTCAAATGATACCAGGAGAACTCTCCTTTGGTATATGTGCCTTTCATTGCAACTAATGAAAGATGACTTTCCAACTTAGCTTGCTTTAGACCTAAATAATGCAACTCATGTATAGCATTTTTCTTCCTCTGGACACTGTGAGTCTGTGTGGAATTCTCCATTGTCCAATCTGAGGAAAAGTACTTGTTTAGAGGAAAGGGCTTCCTGAGGGATGTGGAGGTCTGTCCACTGACAGCTGTTTGATAAGGCACAGTCACATGATGAAAAATTGATTCAGTTTTGGAGGCTTAATGAGTTGTCACCCAGCTGGGCAAGTGGTTCACCGAATGCTATTAGTCCTTCCTGATTGCAAAGAGAAATATATTAACTCGTACCACACTCCAGTTTCCTAATGGGGTCTCCAGTCTTCACATTGGCAAATGACACCTTTCTCCATTTTCATTACACCATGCAGAACTCAAATGTAGCTTTCCATTTAGGTGATTGCTGAGGAATTGT